CCCCCCCTAATCACCGCTGAGCCTCGCGCGAGTGTGTCTTTCATTCAAATTGAATCATTAGCAGCTTCTTGCGGATCGTTCGCGAATAATAGCACGAAGAATTTCAAGGTTCCCCGCCGTGGGCACTTTCCTTCGCGCGTCTTTTATTCTTGGCGGGTTCGTGACCGGCACCCCGAGAATCTAGGCCAACGAATCCAGGAATTTCTCTTTTCTCGAGAGAAAAGAGACGGCAGACAATGACAGACACGGAGGGAGGAGGATGAGATTCGAGCTTGAAATTCCCCTCTGTGTCTGTAGATCTTATAAACAGAAATTTCGAAAGTGTTCTCTCTCTTCCTCTTTTTTTTCTACCGATTAATAACAATTCAGATGTTTTTAATAATAATTTTCTATTTGTAAATCAACAGGGACTTTATAGTTACCAGCCATCGAAGTAAGTCACTTCGAAACTAATCTTATTAACTCTATCATTTTAACTTGAGGAAAGAATTGAAATAGAAAGTTAAACTACATCAGAGATATTTCAACTTTCCTTTGCTAATTATGTGAACAACTCAGTTCTACCCGTTTATGTTCTTGCTGCGTTCTTTCAGTCATTTTCAACCCTCTTATATTTCTTTTAAAATTGAAAAATATCTCAACGTTTGGACGAAATGTTTAAACAAAATATTAAAGTGAAATTTCACGATAAACATCTCCTTCGAACACTAGGAATCTTCCTAAACTAGATTTTAAGACTGACTCTTCAGGGACGATGCCTGATATTGATGATACATGGTAACTATCATAGGATAAAATTATATTAGTGATAATAATTAGACAGTTTAACAGTCACTTTTATTTCTTTAAATGATAACGTTAATGTAGTTTATATATATAATTATAAAATTTAGCATTGTTGAAACAACTCCTGGTAGAAATCGCACAGGAATCAGTACGATTGCAGCAGAATTGAGAATCTATAGAAAAAGGCCAATAAAGAGCTACGTAATTTGGGGAATATTCCGATTTTCTTTCGGCTTTTATTTACGAAAGCGACATTTATTTACACCAGTTACAGGACGAAGCTTGAAAAAAAAATATTTGGCAGCAAGTAGCGATCTTTTCAAGATGCATGCAGCGTTGTTGCCTCAGTGGAGACACAGCCCTAAGGGTAGAAAAATCGAAAGATCTCGCATGGAAGAGGGAGGATCAGTCATCAAGAACGAGGACAAAGACAACTGCCGATCCCATTGTTCAGGGTCGATCGCGGTGCACTCCGATTCGACGGCCCGGTTCTACGTACCGTACATGTGCAAACAGGGTGATAATGTATTCAAGGTCCGCCCCGTTGCCGATGGTGGGGGTGAAACGGGGCGGCCCGCTCGCTATACGTACTGTAACAGATGTTAATTATCCCTTCTGTGTATAGTCAGCAAAAAAAAGAGCCCCGAGTCTCTTGCTCGGACGTATCGTCCACTCGTGTTACCATCCCCGTTGAGAATGCCTCCTGTATCCACGCTTTGTAACGATAGTCACGTGGCCCGCCTAGCGCGCACGCTCCAATCACGTTCAACTTCCGCCGCACTCACTAGGAAAAATTCACCTTAGTTCTCCGTTTAGAGAGTCCTTTCCGTTTGTCAACTTTGTGGGGTACAGTAAGACCTTTCGATTTCTAGTTTTCTTCTGATTCGTAGCCTTGAAAGCTGATTCGATCTTCGACGTGTTACTTATCTCTCAGTTCTCAGTTTTTGGTAGCTTCAACGTCACTTTTGTGTTGGACAGTTTTAGCTCTCTTCGGTTTCTTTCATTTGGATTTCTTAATTTTTTCGTGTCGGATGATTTTAATTTATTTGAGATTGCAGGAATGCTATTTTTATACTAATGTCCCTGTCTGAATTAATTCTTGTTGTTTTGCTATCATTTACCATTTGAATGGAATTTATCGCGAAAGATTCTTTTCAATCTACTGTATTATGTTAGAACATATATGATTAGATTATAGATAGATTACAGATAAATACTTAGTTTTAGTATAATTTTATTAATTTATAAATCATGTATATCCTTCTCGACGTTTTCAAAAATTTACATTCCGATAAATGAATATGATTATACATTATTTTGAAAGGAATCAAAGAAATAATATACTTCAAATAATGATAAAATAGTACACTTTAAATTTCAAGATAATACATACAATAACAGAATTAAGACAAATTGCAAATTTTAAAATTTAACATCAGTTATGGTATAATTAGGTTATAATATAATACCAGTCATTAAAATTAGAAAGAGAAAGAAACAATCATAGTTTCCATTACTTGTCTAGCTTTTTTTAAGCATAATTTCTACGTTCGAAACTTTTCATTGATACATGGTTCCATCCTTGAATGAATAATATTGGCCATTCATGCACACTACCAACGTAATATATATGTACGTAGTATAATTCGCAAATGATTCGCGAATTGTCCACGTAGTACGTGAATCTAGCGTAGGGGTTGAGCTTTGACGGTGGAGAGAAATAAATCAAGAGTGACAGCTTGCATCTCGTAAGTCTACGGTAGAGTGTTCTTGTCGCCGTGAGGGCAAGATGGAATTTCGAAGGGGGGAGAAAAATGGTTTCTTGTCGCGCAGGCTGCAACGATTCGCGTTGCCATATTCGTTCGGCAAGTCTTAATGGACGAGTTTCAGTGCAGAAATAAATAACCGATAATTAACCGAGCAAAAACGGTATTCGAACGATTTTCAGGCCGAATTAGGCGAGTCCGCGGATGCCTCCGACGGAGTCATCCAAATCAATTGAAGGAGCTAACTGGTAATCAACAGTCCGAACGTAAATGATTAACGATGAAACCGGGCGCAGCTGACTCAATTCCCTGCGGACGAGCTTATTGTTGTTAAATTAACAATTCTATTTTGTACGAGTAAATGGTTGAAAAGCTGATATTGAACGATTTTGTATAAAAATTGAAGGAATAGACACGATAATTGATGATGAAGGCTACACTGTAATATTTACAAAAGTATTTTTTTTTAGAAATACTATTACTAACTTGATTTAAAAGCTTGATCTATTTTTGAGAGAAATTGTTGACGAATAGAAAAGGAGAATTTTTCTGATTTTATAGGTATATTATATCTTTCAATGAACTTCTTTCAGTCAAAAATGTAGCGATTGTAAAGAGTAATGTTTTTTTAAAAATATTTCTTACCAGTTATTATATTATAATGATTCTTCGTCGGTGATAGTCTTTTTCTTAAAAAGAAAAAAAAACTACTCTATTTATATATTAAACTCGTAAATTAAAAGTAATGTCTATGTTCTTAATAAGCTATTCGACTCATAAAACAAAATTTCTTTGATACTATTTTGTAATTTGTAACTTTATGGCTATCAGTTAAATATATTTTACTCTTCATGAGCATATTGGTCCCAACAACAATATCGATACTATTTTGAGCTTCTAAAAAATCCTGCAATGCTTGTCTCTGCAAATATATTTGCAAATCGTATTTTTCAAAGGAAATCAAAATTAACAGAGAAAAAGATGGAAGAATTCGAATGTTCCAACCTCTTTAGTTAAAAAAAAAAACAAATTTCAAAGGAAACTTCAGAAGTGCTTCAAACGCTCCTCCCCGATAAAACTTAATTTAATTTCGTGGGGAAGAAGTGCAAGGCGTCTCGAAGGACGAAAACTCGAGGAATAAAATTACTTGCTCGAGTCACCAACTTGTCGCCGCCGCTCCAGCTTCGCCGGAATTTCACGAATTGCCGGTTTCCGATGATCGAGGGTGAATTTGAAAGGAAGCGCCTCGACGAAGGAAACGTGAAACAAACTGGAGAGTTTCACCATTGGAGGAACGAATATTGTCGTTGGTTCCACGTTATCGCTGGCCCCCCGAGTCCTGCTCGGCTGACCGAGCAGCGCTCGTATATCAGCGTAGCTTTTGTTACGACGACGTGCCTTTGTTTTCGCCTTGTTCTCGCGTCTCCGTGTGTTCCAGTGGTGCGAACGTGGACGACGGATTCTTGGTTCGGCAGTCTGTAACAGGCCCGGGCAATACACGGGGGTTTCGCTGAACTTGCTTTAACCCACTTTCGCACTGACACAGAAATAGATAACCGAGAGAGACATGGTCGGGGAGTTCTTTCCACGTTCCGACGATTGTGTCACGAGGAATCGTCGTTCCTCACTCTGATTGATTGTTTATTAACTGGATTTAAACGTATATATACCTGTCCCTATCGTGGCCAGTCAAACGACAAATATCTTTTACGAAAATATGATACAATGACAAATATTCCTGAAAGAAAGGAATATTCGAGTATTGTCAGTTTAATGGATGTGACGATGTACAAAATAATTTCTAGGTAATAAGGAACAAAGTTACATGTTTTTTATTCTTTTTTTAACGAAAGTTAAATAAACGAAAAGAGTAATAATAAATTTTAAATGTGATGGTGGTTTAGTGCTGAGGGAACGTTTCGACACTCGCAATCGAATCTCGAAATAAATACGGTGTTAAACCTCTGCGGTTTCGAGTCGCGTTTTTTATCTGATTCGTCATTCATTCGTGTAGAATAATGCAATAACTTTTCATTGTCGAATTGTTCTTGGGTCGTATCGAAAGGGTCCTTCTTGTTTTTTTGGTTAATTGAAATGGAAGTGAAATTTTTTCTTAGGTTTTATGAGAATTGTTTTCTTTTGGTTAATTAAGAATTTTCCTTCTTTTTTCTTTAAATTATTTAGAAGATTTTATTAATAAATAAGATACATATTCTGTAAATAGGACAGGATAGGTGTATGGATTTTCGTAAGGAAGATATAATGCATTAGAACCAGGGTTTTACATTTTAATGTTGCTTATAAGTTCAAAGAACACATTTTTATTAAATTACATTGTATTGTAAGAAAAGAGGCCTGTTTTGTATATTAAAAGTAACAGATATAGAACGAACTGTAATAGAATTTCGATAATCCGGCATGCTAGGGACTTCCACAATGCTGGATTATTAAATATATCGGATTATTACCCTGCATTCTGCACCTATAATTTTATGTATAAAGTCCAATGAATGAATATTCTATAAAAGAGAAATCTAATTTACTAACAGAAATTTACTTGATATTTATATAAGCATAAATATGTTTCTCTCTTTGTTACGTTATTACATGTTAGAATAACCTAAGAAAATATTCAACAAAAAACAAAGACCTAATTTAAAAATTTGCATCTTGGCAAAAACTACGACAACAATATTTTTAAACAATAAAATCTTTAATCGTTACATTGAAATATTGGATAAAAATTAAAAAAATAACAATAATATCTGTCATCACCTATTGAAACAATCAACTGGATAAATTATTCACTGGAAAAAGAAACCTGATTCACCATTGTGTGCCACTATATTTTGTGTAGAAAGAATTACCCTCGACTATTAAACTTTTCCAAGTGTAAAATAAAAATGAAACTAACGTTCTGATTGTATGTTTCTGTTTCAGAATGCTTTGAAAAGCCGGCCGGTAGAGGAGATTCGAGATGTCTGCCGTAACCAGCCCGTATGGCCCCAGTAAGACGCACCCTTTTCTAATGTCCAGCAACCCCTCTCGTTGCGATACTTTAACTAACCAAGGAAACGTAGGCAGCCTTGCAAATTACATCACGCGCCGTCTCGTTCGAATCGTAATAGCCAAGCGCGGGCTCCTCCAACGATTCCGAGAACGTTCAATTAACGTTCGTACGGGCCGGCTGAATTCTAATTAATGTTAAAAATTCATTCGCGACGAGGGAGCAGAATACGTGGCCTTCGGGTCCTCTAGTTAAAGATCGCTCGAGTCCGAGATTCGCAAACAACGTTCGTCATTAACCGCTGATCCTCTCTTCGAGTTCTATATTTGAAAGGGAGAGGAAAAGAGAGTGAGAAAATTTCTACAAAAAAAAAAAAAAATCTCCGTTGATCAAAAAAATGTTTAAGACTGGTTTAGTGCAGAGTTTTGTCTTGTAATTTCGGATACGAAAAAGTAGGTCAAAATGTGGAGAGATATGAGAGATTTGGGCTTTTCGAATGTTTGGTTAACAATTAGATTTTTCTTTGCGTTCAGTGAAAGATTGGCAAGTAATTGTTATCGTTATTAATGATTGGCTCTTTGAATTCTATTTAAAATAGAAATAAATATAGATGAAGTATTTCATTGATTACAAATATTTAGACCACGAAGTGGACTCTGTGGTGGAAAATTCAATTTTCCGAAGTGGATGATTCTGATTGACAAAAGTCTAATCAAAAGATTCTTATCAACGTCTTTGATAAGAAAAAAATTCAACTCTCCGCTACACTAAAGATAGATATTCTTTGCTAAAAATATTTGATCGTTCAATCCTCTGCCAAATCGGAAATAAATCTTCCTTACAAAAATATTCAGCTTTCCGCTAAACCAAGAATAGATCTCTTTGATTGCTAAAATCGCCAAAAATCATCTATTGTAATCACCGGGCGAAAAATAATTGCAAAGAAACTCACCAAGTCCCTCTTCTTACGAGTAAAGAACTCAATCACTCGCCCTACCAAAAGCAAAAGTAATCGTTAAACAGCAAAAATCCTCCTAACGGGAACAATCGGACAGAATGAAAAAAAAAAAAAAAAAAAAGAAAGGAAGATGAAATGTGAACTGTGTAAGCTAAGACGTCTGTGCTTTTTCCGGGTCGTAGGACCCAGAATTCACCCGTGTCTCGGTGTCTGATGCCCCGGTTGCTTTCCCATCAGCGGAGATGCTTTCCGACTCGGTGTACAACTACGCGACAACCCGGCGGGGGACCGCCGACCAGGACAGCGACTCCCAGTACGAGGGCCAGGCCCAGCTGCAAATCACGAGCATCCAGAAGCCGCGCAACAAGCGCAAAAACTTCAAGCCGATAAGCAGCCGGATGGTCGAGGTGTCGGATGAGTCCGAGAAAGATGACGAGGAGCTGGAAGCGTTGGAAGAAAGTTCCAGCGAGATATTGGAGTACGAGAGGAAGACTATGCTGTTGCCAGCGGAGGACAGGTCGAAACAGAGGTTGAACAACAACGAGGTGAGCCCTATGGACCTGTCCGTTGCCACTAGGCCACCGTCCTCTGAGGCTGACGACGACAGCGGTGATTCACTTAGGCATAAGTTTATCCTCGAACAGCTCAGATCTCAGAAACTGTACTCACCTGGTACCGAGGTAAGTTTCTTCCTTTCATTCATTCATTTTTTTGAAATTCGAGCGTATGAACGAACGTATTTAAATCTAATAGACACGAAAGTTATTTCTGTCGTTTGTCGATACGGTTAGTCGGGTTTTGAGTTTATTCTTTTTGGACTATTCCAGTTTGTAATTAACAGTTGAACGAAACAAATATTAAACGTTCAGAAACGCCATCAGTGCAATGAATACATCTCCACCGACATGTATTTATTTTACAATCCTGAAATTATTTCAACTTCTTCACCAAGTCGTTGAAAAATTTAAAAAAGATATATAAATTCGCGACAAATTTAATGGCCGATACATTAATGGTGCAGGCAAGGAGTCCGAATTCAGAATCGTCGGAGAAAAGTGGAAGCGGCGTTCTGGATACCGAATCGGGGCGATTAGACGACACTCCGTTCGAGGATGATCGAGTGCAGGATGGCGACGGTGAGACGGAGTGCGAGGAGAGGAAACCCTTCGAAGGAATGAGGGAGTACGCCGAATCGACCATGCAGGAGTTGTTGGCGATCTACGGCCTGGCGGGAGGAGAATTGGCCAAGTCAGTGAGCAGACAGCTACCGCCGACCTTTCTGAACCCTCCGACTGGTCATCAGCCTCACGGTGAGTACTCCTCTCGCTGATCTTGTTCTTTCCACTTATGCATGTAACGAGCCTACTGCTATTCTACTTTTAGTCTCATTGATTTTTTTAACGAATGGAATGAAAATTTTTTTTTCTCTTTTCAATTGTTAGACTGCGGATTTTCATGCGTTTGTGGGGAAATTTAAAAATGCCAGGTACTTCAGGTACATGAAGAATATATAAAATATCCAAAGTACAATGCATGTTGGGAAATAATTCTCTTTTATTCGCCGTCTAATGATCAAACTCTTAACAAGTTAAAAAACTTCTGTAAAAGCTATTGTAATTATTCAATTTTTCTTTTCTTCAATTTCAAAATTCATTCAATGTAATATTTATATAATCTTTAACCTTCAGTTCGTGTTATTAAATTTTATTTTTCGAATAAAAATATTTGTAAAACTGAAGTACTTCTTATTAAAAGTACTCGATTATTTCTTATTAGAAATACTCGATATGGTAAATTATGGCTCGGTTCTTAATTGGCCAAACTCCCCATAACCACGTAAACATCCGCAGTCTACTAACAAATTTCCTAATCGAATTATGACCAGAATTCCACCAACGAACCCAGCTCATTATTTTCAAACGTCTCTTCGGCCATGTACATTTATTTCTACCTAGCTTGCAATTAGAAACAAGCAGGTTAAACAGTTGTTAACGACCGTTTTACAAACTAGAACTTGTCGTTCGACCATGCAAGCCTCTGCCAGAGGCTATTAACGCGTGGGCGATTCTCAAAGCGGAAGAAAGAGAGGAAATAAAACCGTTGGCCCATTGGATCCTCGATTTTCAAGGATCTTGCAAAATACCTTCAGCCCGAAGAGACGAAATATATAAAATATCGAAAGTCGAACACGCTTGTCGTAAATATTTACGATATTTAGGAAATATATTTCAGCTTCATTTTTGTTTTCTAAATCGTGTGCAAGAAAATTGAGATTTACGTAGAAATGAGGAATGGCACTTGAACGTTTCGAATAATCTTTACATATAATAATATACGGTGGAAAATTTGAATCATTTTCGAAGAAAATTCTTGGAAATCATAGAAAATAAATAGCAATGTTATAATTCTTCAAAATCTTCCGAGTGTTCCGAACATCTTTGAACAGAGTTTCAAGAATAAAAATCCGTCAAATTCTCGAATACTCGATGTAATTCGATTTCTCACTGTCCTGAAAAACATCGAATCGTTCCGAAACAGTTGTAAAATTCGATGGCTCGCGCGTAAGCTTCCTCGAATCGTTATTATTCGCGGCAGGAGTTCACTGAAGAGGAATTGGAGGCGCCCTCGGTATTCGACGAAATCGTTAGTCGTGACGAATTGTGGCACGACCAATGTCGGACGATTGGTTGGCATCGAATCTCGGGGTTGGGCCATGAACAATTGACAAGTGTGGTCACTGGTTGATATTCGCGGCCGTACTTGGCGTAAAATCAATTTTACTCGAGCGCGTTTCCTTCTTTCCTCATTCTGTTTCTCGAATCTGTCTTTTGATCGCCACGCGAGCCAGAAAATCTTTGGCCATTAACGTGAAATTAT